TACATATTAATGAATAACTTCTCTTATGCCTTCTTAAACATTACACTATAAAAATTAATATATTATTATATCATTACCTACTTTATGTTGTTGAATAGCACGCTATAAAAGGTAATACGGTTAGGCTAAGCCGTCTCATATATATATATATATATATATATATATATATATATATATATATATATATATATATATATATATATATATATATAATGTAAGCACTTTCCAACATTCAGTGTACCATTATTTACGTTTTAAACAATCTTAATTTGATTTTTATCAAAAGTAAATATCTGTAAAAAGGGAGACAACCTTTAAAAATCAATAATTTTCTGTGATATTTATAGAAATGAACTCACACCTGACTCTTTTGTACTGAGTTGTTTAACTCCCCCAATTAGTTATTAATCATCTTTCCACGCTATTTTCAACCAGACCCCCGCCTTCGTTAATTACCGCCAATGCTAATTAATTTCAACACGAGGGTTAATTAATCACTTTCTAAGTGCCGTGTCGCCTCCAGCTTCTGTCACACCTTCAGCGATATTAATTCGACTAAGGGGACATCACCCCGCGGACAAATTACCTTATTACCTTATCCCCCCTTGCAATTGTCACCTCTAAGTGACATCATTCCCTCATTAGAGCGATCCGCAACCTTCAACGATTCTTCATATTCCCGCGTTTATTTACCAAATTAGATAAACGGATCCCAGATCAAATCCGCATCCTCGTCCTAGCCTTTAACCATTTTTTTTTTTTTACAATCGTTTCTAGATCCTCCTTGAACCCTATCCTGAACCGAGTTTGTTTTTATCGCCCTTTAAAGCATTCTTCAGCTTTTGTAACAAGGGAGGTAATCGAATTATCACCCCTTGAAGAAGCGTTGTCTACCCTGTGATTTCTAGAGGAAGTTGTAAATGGTTAGGTTTTTTTTCCGGCTTGGGTTAAACTACCCACGGCGGTAATTAACATGGACTTCATTATAGATTTAATTAGGGCATTCAAATCATAAATTAATGAACCCGAACAATGAGCCTATTAGATGATTTGTTAAAACAAATAAATTTAGAAAATCAAACATAAAACAAACATTGGTTTAATATTTCGAAATAGTGCTTACTTCCCATCGCCTAAGCTCGGTACAAATTTAGAAAGGTGATATCAACACACAGAAAAATAATACTTGAAGCTAACAATCAGTACTTATAGATGAATATAATAATTGTTTAACTCTTGACATACCAGTCATTGACCCACCGCCCCCCCCCCCCCCCAAAAAAAAGGTAATACTTCCTCAATTGATAAAGAACATCTTATCTTCAAATCACGTCTTCGTTTTTAGTATAGGTTTATTACATTGTTTATTACTTTTGTTCATAATGAAGGAACTATTGTGACAATCTTTACCCTACAATTGATTATTGATTATCCAATTGATCGGTGTAAAACTCATCTAATTTTATTTTAAAATAACTAAATTTAAGTTATACATAATTAACCTTTAGTAAAAAGTTATTAACATTTAATTTTATTGAATATTTATTTAAAATACAATTCTGCAATATCTAACACGTTAGATACATTTTTTTTTAAAATTACTTATTTTTAACACATTTTAATATACTCATTTATAATTATTTTGATAAAAGAAACGTCATTTTTTTTCCTATTCCATAGCAATTATAAAGCAGTTTTCGAGTAAATCAAAATCTAAATTGTTTTCGTAATGTTATTCTTAGTTTTTTTAGTAATTATAATATGATAATTGTAAAAACGATGGAGTAAAGTTTTGAGATTTAAGAGGTTTTTTTTTTATTCTTAAGATTCTTAAGTAGTAATGTCTGATCTCTTTTTAATATGATCTTCTAGAGAAGTGCAACGATACAAATTGGAGGCGATTTTTTGTTCATTTTTCTATACGGCTTGAATTTTATGACTGAACGATTTTCGTATTGCTAGAAACTCAAACTTTAAAAAAAAATGTCCAATTGTTGTCATCTAGTTTGGTAAATGAAAAAAAAAGAATATTTAAAGTAGGACATAATCGTATTTCTAATTTTCTTTTTTTTTTATAACATAAGGGAGCTAACTAACTTTTTTATATAAAAAAGAAATACGTAGTTTTGGTATAGGGGAGATCACCAAGAAAATTGTGGTCCAATATTTAGGACGTATCGATCACTAAAGAAGGGGAAATAACAATTCCAGACCATCTAATCCGTGTTATAGCCTGCCACTAATGCGGGTGGGGGGAGTAGGGGGTGGGGGAAGCTAATTTCATCTTTAACTAAGCATTACAGTAAATAAATCTAGCCAGATGAGGAAGTCGGAAGAGGGGGGCGAAGGAGAAGGAATAAAGGGGAAACGATTTTTGGGGCGAAGTATTTTAATACAATAAGTAGCCTCCCCTTTTTTATATAAATGACTGTTGTTGGTCTGGTGACGTCATTTATAGAGTGACATTTTATAACCGTGCATTAGTTTAAGCTACGGAGCATGCAGACTTTTTATTTTTAGTAGCTTGAGGAAAATGTCATGTATTTACCAATATTTACCATCGGTGAAATTTTGATGACATTTTGATGACATTTTGTAAATTTTACCAAAGGCCATAGTTAGTCTTTTCGTAGTGGGGTATGGATTTAATGATGTTTTGAATCAATGATCTACTTGTGTTGTATCTGTTACGATATAGGAAATTTTGAATGACTCAGTAGAGTCTCGGTCAAATACTGCTTGGAATTAAATAGGCAAGCAAAGCGTACTAACATTGAAGTCAGTGTGTAAAATCTTATCATTTTGTTTGTCTTTATAAATAGCTGTTTATTACATAACTCCACTTACCAACTTGATTACCACACGATGCCACCACGTCAACATCACCACCATACCGACATCAACAGCTTTTTCACCACGCCATACCACTAACAACACCACTATGCAACCACACAAATCACAACACATCTACATTAGCCTCGCCACAAAGGCAGCCACACTAATATGTCACCACACCAATCTCTCCAAAAAACACTTTACATGTACACTACTCTCACAACAGCAACTACAACAACTACATCAACATGCCACCACACTAACCTCACCACCACACCGACCTAACAGACTTAACAGCGTTATCACCACGCCATCCAACCAACCACATTTTATACCACCACACCTCTACATTAGCCTCGCTACCACAGCAACTATACTAATATATCACCACACCACTAAACCTCTACATTACCCTCACAACAACAGCACCAACATACCACAACACCAGTCACACCAAAACATACATCACCACAACACCACATTAGTCTCACCACAACAACAAACACACCAACTACATCAATATGCCACAACACCAATCACACCAACCTCACCACCACACCTATACATTAGCCTCTCGACCAAAGCAACCACACCAACCTCCCCACCAACTCTACCACACCATCCACACCACAATTGTATTAACACCCTCCCGAATCCCAACCCACCATACAACATTACCTAAGCCAAGAAATAAATGTAACGAACCCAATCTTGTCATTAATTACTTGAGTTATAAACTGTTAATTATGCAAATGACGCCGTCAACGGCAGCTTATTACGAGTTAATTGTTCAAGCTAATTAATAAAGAAACATAGCTCGTTAAAGGTCTGAACTTCTCAATAAAAATCATCTCGTGACCTACATGAAGAAGTTAAGCGACATTGGGGGGGTCGATAGCCGTGCGTACATCCAAGAAAACACAAGACACGTATCAATATAGCACTGCGCATGTCAGGATTTTAACTCATGAGTGTGCATGACGCGAGGCTTTTAGCTGTCTTGCGCATGTCACATGTAAGGTGTAATGTACGGTTTGATGTCAAAGTTCTTATTAAGACACGGGTTTTCTAAATAGGTTAGCTGTTTCGTGGATATAAAAAACTTCACATTGATCGAAAGATACATCTTTTGCATTCTAAAATGAATGAATTTAGTATAGGTAGTACAAGAGGGGTTTATATACATTTTAAAAAATTACAATTAAAAAAAAATTAATTAAAACAGCTTAGTTTTAAATTTAGTCATTGATGTAAGAATACCATTTATTAGTATATACACGTGGAAATTTGAGGAAGATACATTATTAACAGAAAGTAGTAAATAACGATTTCATTAAATATCTCTTGTACATCAAATACAAATGCATTATGTACTAGACATACTCATTTAATTTAAATTATTGTCAAAATAAAAGAGAAATATATAAACAGTGAAGGGGAAGTAAATAAATGTACAAAAAGCGGATGTGAACTTTGGAAAAGATAGAAAACAAAATTTAAAGAAAAATATCCCGATTTTCGCACACATTTTTTTTTGTTCTACTTAATTTGTAAGAGCCATACTCTAGTAAAACTCGTCACTTCTATTGGCACAGTTTAGAGTAAAGGGGCACAACCAAACCTCTCCATAGTAGTCGAATTTAAGGCAATTTCTCAACGTTGACTCAATGACATTGCGACTGCTCGTTCTTATAATATTGATTACAAACATGATTTTAAAAAATAAATAACTGTCATTACCGTTATATTCTAAGCATACTTTGTCAATAACAGGGACACTATTGTATAGTAGTAAGCAAGGCTGAAATCGGAGTCAATGGCCTTAATGTCGCATAACCAGTTGACACGTAGACTTAATTGTGTTTGAGGGGGTCTCTTCCAGAACTACAATTAAGAAAGAAAAATACATATAATGTGTGTGAACACCGTTTGTTTATTTAATATATAACGAACTATCCGTATTAAACGGTTTATGTAACGATTGGAATAGGTAGTAACATTTAATGCTGATTTATATTCTGATTTATATTTCTTTGTTTTATATAGTAACAATATATGTATATAACGTGTTTAAATATATACATATATTATAAACAATGTGGCAACATAAATGTGTTGTACTGATTTTATAAACACCCCTTGTGCCTTAACACCCGGTGTTCAAAATGTACACCCCCACGGCCATTTTGTCTCACGTCATCTTTATGTTGATGCTGGGCGAGTCCATTTCAACGACGGGGGACGCAGCTCTTCACAACGCGAGAAACGGTCTAAGATTACCTCGGAATGATTTGAGCCTACCAACATCAGCTATGCACGCCAAAGTTCAAATCAACGTGGCGGTGTTGTTCCCGTATGAGTACATCTTCCACAAGGAACAAGTGAACTTGTCTTTAGGGCTGTCTGTAGATCACTTAAAACACCTCGGGTTAGACGCTCGTTTTGTTCTCAACTTCAACCAAGCAAATACAAACTGCAACGAAGTCGACGGCCCCATCGCCGCGTTCGACTTCTACGAGCGCCAAAACGTCCATGTTTTCATCGGCCCCGTCTGCGACTACACCTTAGGTCACGTGGCGATGTACGCTACCAGCTGGAACCTCCCTATCATCACACCCGGGGGTCACAGCCACGATTTCAGTCGCGACAAACGCGACAAATTCTACACCCTGACTCGTGTGGGAGTGACGTTTAACTTTTTCGTGCAAAACGTTTATGACCTGATGAAACATTTCAAGTGGAAAAAGTTTAAATTCTTCTACGCCATGAACGAAGGCGGGCAGAAGGGTCACCGGTTTTGTTATCTTGCAAGCCGAGCGTTTGTTCACTACGCTAATGAGAGCAAGATCGGGTATTCCCCGAATATCATAGACAAGGATACCGAATACTCCAAGCTGTTGGTCGATGACGTAGGCAACAAGTTTAGTGGTGAGTACAGATACACACAAAATATCTTTTACTGCTCTTTATACTTGTCTTGTGAACTCTACTTCATCTACTCTAAGCATCGCTAAGCCAAATTGGAAAGTATATACATGTCTTATGAACTCTACTTCATCTACTTTAAACATAGTTAAGTCTAATATGCAAGTGTATACTTGTCTTGTGAACTCTACTTCATCTACTCTAAGCATCGCTAAGCCAAATTGGAAAGTATATACATGTCTTATGAACTCTACTTCATCTACTCAATGCATCGTTAAGTCTAATATGAAAGTGTAAACTTGTCTTGTGAACTCTACTTCATCTACTCAATGCATCGTTAAGTCTAATATGAAAGTGAATACTTGTCTTATGAACTCTACTTAATCTACTCAATGCATCGTTAAGTCTAATATGAAAGTGTATACTTGTCTTATGAACTCTACTTCATCTACTCAAAGCATCGTTAAGTCTAATAAGAAAAGTTTGTACTTGTCTTATGAACTCTACTTCATCTACTTTAAGCATAGTCAAGTCTAATATGAAAGTGTATACTTGTCTTGTGAACTCTACTTCATCTACTCTAAGCATCGTTAAGTTTAATAGGAAAAGTGTATAATTGTCTTATGAACTCTAATTTATCTACTCTAAGCATAGTTAAGTCTAATATGAAAGTGTATACTTGTCTTATGAACTATACTTCATCTACCCTGAAAATCTTAACTGTAAATCGTTAGGTCCTATAGAGAAAGTTTACTTAATTCGTGTCTGCTTTCTAATTTTATGATTATTATTTTAGAACGTTTTGTAAAGTTGATTGTAACTACGAGCTTGTAAAATATTCCATCTGTTATTCAAACTTTTTAAAGTGACCTTTGACCCAATCGTAAGCGAGGTTAATCAAAACAGAGTGTTGTAAACACCTGTATAAAATTCACGCTGTTGAAAACCGTTTGTGATGTATTCTTTTAAAAATCTCTCCCTAACCTGTTTTTGCCTTTATAGCCCTGGCACCTCACCCACACCCCTCTCATATTCTAAAGTGTCTTAAGTCACAATTTTCCCCATACGATACCCTTAAATTTAAATCATAATTATGATTACATTATCCAAGTATTCACAAATCTATCAATTACTAACACTTCCAAATGTAAAAAAAAAGTATAATTAATAAAAATCAAATTCCATTACAGAAATATGTATAACAAGTAGGCATGATTTATTTCAATTTAGGAATAGGAAAAGGGGAGTAACAAACGGATTTTATAGGAATACAATTTTAAAGCAGTTATCTCTCTTCTATTCAAAAGCTTATTTAAAAATAGCAAACCAAGGTATGCATTGTGGTTCTTACAATTGTCATTAAAATAATACTTTTGAGAGATTTGTAATGAAAATTTAAGATTGAATATGCCTTCTTAAAAAAAAAACATTCTTCTTTTTATTCCATAAAATATGTATTATAAGCGTATACTATATTTGATTTCGTTATAAAATCCAATCGCTTTGATGAAGTTGGGTACGATATGAACCCAATAATGATAGCTGACAAGGACTAAAAATGTAATTTCGTGCATTTTGTTTCCTAAGAGTCTTAAAAAAAAAAACTAAACAATTTTAGAAATGTAAAATTTTAAGTACCAATGATATAAAAATTAGCAAAAACATTTTGTGTTGTGTTTTTTTGTTTCTTTTAAATTAATTATGGCTTATCAACCTATCATTTTACCGACTTGTAGTCTTTGATTGACAATTGTACATTCAGTAGCACCCGTACTTTGGTTCCATAGGTCCCTCCCTCTCATCCGGCACTTTCTTAATTAAGCTGAACGTCAGTTAACCTAATTAGGGGTAACAGATTTTCATTTAAAATACTTTACTATGTTACGAATGGCAAAAAACAACAAATGTTTACACTTTTATGTTTCTTGAACAAATATATTAATAGCAGCAGATAAGTCTTTTAGGTAAGAAAGGCCTACAAAAACCACCACATCCATTTTTCAATAGTCACATCTGTTTCAATAACATTACTCACTATTTGGATTTCAAAAACATTCTCTATACCCTTTTTACTAGATTTATGTATCAATGTGACTTAGTTCTTACTTTAGAACCAAAAGGCTCAATATTTTCACATCAGTGTGAAATTCAGGCATCAGTTTATATAAAATCGTGATTTAACGTACTTAGTTAACTTACAATATTTACCTGTAATGTAATTGCTTAATCACGGTGGTGTAGTGTAAACATATGGGCATTACACGATGTTGGAAAAAATAAATGTGTGCACATAATCTGATAGCAAAGTTTTCTTTTCGAACCTGATGGTCCACGAAGCAAGTGAAATAGAATTAACCTGTTTCTATGACCTCGGCATATGAAGGGATAGTGTGGTCAGCACTATGCCCAGCTGCCTTTACTTTCGCTAACGTGAACTAGGTACCCATCAGAGCTGGGTGGACCCATGGTTGTTCAATTGATTTAAACCAGGATTCGGGCAGGCAGTTTAGTGCACTAACACTACGCCACGCCGAAAAAAAAAACTGTAACATTCTGTATACTTATATCAGTAAAGATCGCACATTGCAAAAAATATAATTTAATCTTAATATTTGCTAGTAAGTTTGTATGGCACGTTCACTAACTAATTATATTAACTACTAATTAATTAATATCCTCGTGATATTGTCTAATTATAGAATTGGGTTGTCCTACAAGCACTGAGTGAAAATGTCAGATATTATTCCTGATTGAATCGATAAGTCTACAGGACATTTAACAATGAGGTCACAGACCTCTGATTCAGTGCTTTTGTCCAACTTTTTTTCGCTTGTCGTGTTTAGTTAGCGGGATTGGATTCCCTCACTATAGGATGAGGAGTGTACCTCGGTACATTGTCAGGAAACTAGGTACCGCTGTAGTCAGATATAGATTAGCAAGTAAATCTTAATAAACCGAGTTCTGTAAAGAATGTTATTTTTTTTCAAAATAAAAATTTAACTTTTTTTTTTTTTTTTTTAAGGTGCTTTTTTTTTTTTTAATACTTTTATTTGCAATTAAAACAAGAACATCAACATCAAATTTTTTAACATAATTTTGAACACCAAATGAAAACGACAGGTTTTGCAAATGTACATAATGAATATTTACATGATGTCATGTATTTGATTATAAAAAATTGCAAAGGATGACAGTAAAAGGGGTGAAGGTCAAATGAAAGTGTCAGAAGTCTTGGTGGGGAGAGGAAAGGAAATTTTTCAGAGAGGGTCAATGGGACAGTGAAGCATTTTTAATGTAGGGAATATAAAAATTTAAGTAGATCTTGATAGGATTCAATGGCAATGGCATTAAGTAATATGAAAATGAAATTGTTTAAAATAATTAGTTTCATTTTTAAAAAATTCAAGGTGTTTTTAGATCGTTTATAATAACAAAAAAACAAATAACGATTAAACAATATTATAGTTTGTTTATTATAAACATATGCTTAATATTTTTAGCAATAATGAATAAAAACACACTTTTTTTCAAGAAAAAAAATATAAATAGCAACACCAGTGAAAACCATTGTTTTATTTTTTGCGTTACTTCCCTTGAATTTGTTTAGATGTAGTGAACGAATATCACGTCATTGTCATTTATTTTAGCCTCGTCTTTAAATTGTTTCATAGAAATATGCTACTTGTAGGCTTTCTCAATAAAACACGCGCACACACACACACACACACACACACACACACACATACACACACAGTCATATCCACACTCACGCACACAAACACACATACTTACAATTTATATAATTAGTCTATATTTAAATAAAAATACATTTGTACACATGCACTTGCATATATGTATGTATATATATATATATATATATATATATATATATATATATATATATGTATATATATATATATATATATGTATATATATATATATATATATGTATATATATATGTATATATATATGTATATATATATGTATATATATATGTATATATATGTATATATATATATGTATATATATGTATATATATATATGTATATATATGTATATATATATATATATAGTATATATATATATATATAGTATATATTCTGTGTTTATGCTTTATAGAATTTTTTCTAATTATGTTTTGCCTAAAATGAAATGGCTGTTTTGTTTAGAAGCGATGCACCTAGAAACCTTAACCCAACCCTTTCCATTGTACAATATCCCAGCTGCGTCTAAGGTCAGTTCAATAACCCAATGTTCACTGACAATCAACGGTCAGCCTGCCACGCCCCCCAAACAATCGTCTGTCGTCCCCCTCTGACAGGTTCTACCTCCCCTTGTATTCCTAGATTTTCCTCCTATTTTATGCCTCTTCGGTGGTGCTACTTTTGGTGGTACTGCCTCTTCTTATATGCCATTGTTGTGTCACCTTAAGCTGATTATCTACCGTTTGTCGGCCTCCATTTTCTTCGCCTGTGATGCATCACCTCCCCTAGTATGCCCCTGTTTTCTCCCCTGAAATATATAATGCCTCGGTTAGCATGTTCCGTTCTTTCATTCATTCCTCGGTTGGATTATCTCCCCTAGTATGCCCCTGTTTTCTCCCCTCTGATATATGTTTGGTATAGTAGCGTTGCGATGGGGGGGGGGGCGGGGGGGGGGGGGGACATATGTCCCCGGGCGCCGACCTTAGGGGGCGCCAAATGGAAAAATAAATTGAAAGGTTGAGGGGGGTGCAAATCGAAAAGTTTGTCCCCGGGCGCAGGGAAGGGTCGCTACGCCTCTGGTTTGGTAGCATGTCCCTGTTCTTTTATTTCTCGGTTGGATCATCTCCCCTAGTATGCCCCTGTTTTCTCCCCTGGGATATATAATGCCCCTGTTGGCATGTCAGTGTTCTTTTATTCCTCAGTTGGATTATCTCCTCAGGTATGGCCATGTTGTCTCACCCTCAGGCGGGTTCTCTCCCCACCCCCCTCCTCCCCCCCACCCCCAACCAAGTAACTCACTGTTTTCTCTCCCACCTGGGTTCGATTACCTCCCATTGACTGTTCACGTCCACCTAGGATGGATCACTTACCCTAGAATGCCATT